AATAAAACGTGCTTTCCAACCAATCTATTGTTGTAGAGCTTGTTGTCGTTCCGCTATGGTCGCAGCGACGGCGGGACGCTCAGTAAGACGTTTATGCCAAGCATAGGTCTTGGGGAACTCCTTTTCGAAGTCCAATTGTGGAAGATCTTCTTTGAATTCATGCCTTCCTTTTCCAAAAAGCGCAGGTAGCAAATCGTTCCAATTAATAAAAGACATGTCGGCGATCGTGTACTTGTCAGCAACGAGATAGTCCTTGTCTTGGAGAATTCTTTCTAAAACACCGAGCACACGCTTTATTTCATTCCTGTATCTAGTAATGGCAGATGCAACAGGTTCTGGATGGTAAAAGTTAAACCAGGATGCTTGTCCCCAAATGACACCTTGACCTGAAGACTGGAAAAACAGATACTGAAGCAAATGATGGTACTCTGGATGATCATGAGGCAACGAAATCTTTCTTTCCTTGTCGTATCTGTCTGTCAAGTAGGCCAAAATAGCATCGGACTCCCAGATTACGTAATCATTGTTTTGATGATCGATTAATGTAGGAACTCTCCCATTGGGATTGTAAGAAAGGTGTTGTTCGTTCTTCTGCTCATTTTTCCCAAAATCGTAAAAAACTGTTTCGTAAGAAAGATTTAATTCTTTCAAAGCATGAACTGGTCTCCAGGGATTTGGGCCTCCTTTATGAGAGAAGAGAGTAAATTGAGCCATTTCTTCAAGAATGTTTGAAGTGAATGTTATGAGTTGGCTGCTTTTATACCAGTTTTTTTATGGACACACTTACGTAATTAGCGTTATTTGATGACTAAAAACTGAGGGTTTGGTTTACGATCATACGATACTGCTTATAAAGCAAAAACACATTCTTCTAAAATAAATTCAAATGTCTGCTTTTCCAGCTTTTTCGAGAACTGTATCTTCGAGCTGACCGAACTCTGTTATTTTTAAGTTGCAATGGCGATTTTCACCATCTTCATAATGAGTTTCTAGAGTAAACAAGCAGATAAATCCATTAAGCTACGATTAGAAGCGAAACTTATGTAAGGATGATGATTGACTATTTAGAGGTGGAATTAGGACTTGATGTGCAGTGGCTCAGGAAAACATTCATTCCTTACTATACGCCTAGTTGGTAGTTCAAAGAGCCAGCAGTTAACTAAATATTGATTAATTCGGACGATCCTGCTGTGCTCATTGCTATACAAATAACACTGAGTCTTTTTTTCCACTGTTCGTCATTGATTTTCATATTTAACTTTTTTTCTGGATTTAGTGCTTGTTTATTTGGTTCTTAATTTTAGTTTTACTATTTGCTAATTTGATATGCTTGTCGAAAAAACAAAATGTCTACAATACCTGCGTCGCCGTAATTTACAAGTGGTTGATTGACATTTCTAAACTGTCGAAAACCAAATTCGGAAGAGTTATCGCAGAGTAAGCACCGCTGTGGTTAAGGAACCCCCACTACCAAGTGACCATTGTGACCATCAACTACAGTAGTGCTACCTTTTTGAGCTCGACATCATCATTCAAAGAATTTCATACTCACATAAGTCCTATAAGTGTCGTGATGTTGGAACCAGTCGGAGAATATATGGACAATATAGTCTCCAATGCTACTGCGAAAGGAGTATACGATTTCTAGGACTTGCTACTTTTAAAATTATGTAAATTGGATGAATTTACTCAGTTAGGAGGAAGATTTACTATAGTGGTAAGCAAAGGTTTCGCTGGTATTATAGCCGATGATGGAACTATACCTATTCAAATGGACCAATTCAATGGTTTATTAAAGGAAATATCGCAACAAATAATTGCTCTTCCTATGCATCATTTCTGTTGAACAAACGTCGCGCATCCTACGAACCTCATGAGGGGCCTAATTTTTTTAGTGTTTGAACGGAGGAAGGAAAAGAACATGGTGAGCTTTATAGAAGAATAAAATAGGTGTTTTAAAAGATCTCACATAATCTAAAAGATAATACTCCGAGCAAGCAATAACATTACCCAACCAGTAACTGCGTTTTTTGAACAGAAAAAAAGAAAAAAAAAAAAAAAAAAAAAAAAAAAAAAACTGTACAGGTCTTGATTCTTCTTGTAAATCGAAATTATAGATGACTAAAAGTCAGTTTGGTTGTGTTTGTGGAAATTGACTTAAGTTTCTGGTGAATTAAAAGACGAGTTTGTTTGTCTTGTAGTCATTTCTCGTTGTGTATCGAAATACTCCATAAATTTTCTTCTACTCTCAAAGCGTCTATCTTTGACAGAATAAATTGAACCAGATCTCTGGTTATCTCGAGTAGTGTCTACACTCAAGTAGTCAAACATACACGCTTGATTTTCATCACGAGGAAACAAGTAGCTTTCGTACTTTGCGTACCGATGATATTTTGGTTTTCCTTTAAGAATTCATGCGTGGTCTGTGGGGTAATCATATAGTAATATTTCGGTCAATTAGAAATAAGTCATTGTGTTATTTCGAGTGCATGGAAGGAATCGTTCATAAAAAAAACCTACTCTATATGTTTTTAAGAATTTTAAACAATTTGGAGACTCCAATTTGTTCCAAAAGTAGCAGACGCTTAATAAGGCGTTCCGTATTTTGACAGCGTCTTGAAGCAAAGCAAAAAGCTCCTTGACTTTGTTCCTTACACTCAAACGATTACTTAGGATGAGTTAGATTAGATGAAATAATAAAATTTGGAACGGAACCACCCTTATTAAGAACACCGCCAGTCAAAGTATCTCGTTGATAATCATAGAAAACGGAATGTACCCTTTATCTTATTGCTGTTCATAATTGTTCCAAAACTTTGCTTTTATCAAACGCTAATACCTATCCTTTTGCTGGAAAGTAAGTGAAGGCTTTTCGTCCATCTAATCTTTCGAAACCAGAAGCAGAGTTATATTTTAGGATGTTTCTCATCAGCACCTATCCATCGGAAACTAACCTTTGGATTACGAATATTGCCATTAATCTTTGTAAGAAGATTTAATAGGTCAGAATACTGGAGTTCTTCCTTCATTGACGAAAACAACGTACACCAAATGAAAAAGTATAAGCCTTGCTTGCCAAACAAAAACTCTCGCATTTGGGAATGTCATTTCACTTGCAAGGAACTTTTAAGCAAAAGAAAAGTTTATATAAAGGAAAACGAAGATGATTCCGTCTTGCAAAATGCATGAACTTGTGGGTGTTAGGATATTATGTTCATCCTTTATCCTTAACTCCTTTGTCTGTCCTATTCTCCAGTGGATTACGTTTCTATAGCTATTAAAGCAAAATAAAAAGAATGGTAGTTATATTGATAAAAGATCAGTTGTATTATCATGTCTTGCAATCGCAGCATATACCAATAAAGGAAAAAGGAAAAAAAGTCAAAATTTCTTCTTTTCGCTTACAATGATATCGTCGAACGTTATATTTTGTTTCAATTCGTACTTCGTACTTTAAAGTACAGTCGAACCGAAACATGTCCAAGCCATTCTTCGTTTGCATATTTCACATAAAGATTATAGGACTTGAGAATTCTGCGGTCATAAATTTAGCGTGATAATATTTTTATGTTTACGCAAATGGTAAACAAAGTATAAAAGAGTATAAACCAAAATAATCAAAAAAAGACGGTAGTGGGCGTTTAATAATTTCTAAAAATTCATGCTAATATTCAAGACTGAACATTTCGGTTATGCTTGGGATGGAATAGCCCGCATTAATAGCAAGCATGAGCATATATCTAGCCTTCTGTGGATTTTGGAAATAAGCGGGAATACCATTATAAGAATAATCAGAATATCCATCCATGGTCCTGTGGCTATAAACTACTGGAATGCTTTGATTATTAATTAACCCATCAATAACTTCGTTACCAGGATTCGTCCACGAAGCTGCACCCATACCAGCCAAAACCAAACCTTTGGCACCTAAATCAACAGCAGATTTTGCTAGTTTTGGATTTAGCCCTTGATATCCATATAGAATATCAATTTGGGGTAATTCCGTAGTATTTTTAACGTCAAAATAAACTTTACCAGTAGGTGTGGCAGGACTATAAAAGAAATGCGGTCTCTGATCCAAAATCATGCCAAGGAAGCCTGCTTCATAAGATTTAAAAGTATCAAGTGTATTTCCGTTTGTTTTCGTAGTATAAAAGGCAGACCCGATACGATCATTTAATAAGATCATCGTGCCCCTACCAATCGACCGATTAGAAGCTGCCACAGCAACGGCATTTAACAAATTCATGGGACCATCAGCACTTATTGCTGTGGATGGTCTCATTGCACCAACTACCACAATTGGCTTTGTAGAATTTACAGTCATGTCCAAGAACATTGCAGTTTCCTCAAGTGAATCAGTACCATGCGTAACGACAATTCCTTGAACATCGTCTTTGGCAACTTCATCCAAAACCAAATGAGTCAAATTTAAAACGTTTGCAGGAGTCAAACTTTCACTACCAACATTAGTTACCTGGATTCCACGAACGTTTGAAATATTCTTAATATCAGGGACCGCTTCTACTAGTGTATCAACTTTTACTGAACCGGCAGCATATTCGGCAGTCTCGGTACTTGATGAAGCAGATCCAGCGATGGTGCCTCCCATAGCCAATATTGTGACATTGGGAAGCGAGGCATTAAATGAAATCAAGTCTGATATGTCAGATGTGCGCTTATGGAACAAAGTCGGATGACATGTTGACACAGAAAAGAACACGAAGGCAATGATGGATCTCCACATTTTGGCCTAAAAGTCGATACAATATGGAAGCATTCATACAGTTTGATTATATACATAAAAGAACTTACAGAAATAGAAAATTATCTTATCTGAATCTGACCCATTATCTTATCTTTTTTTTTTATTTCCGACATACACCTACATGTGATTCCGCCGAAACTAGGGAAGTAGATACCACAAGTTGGTTAATATAATATGCATCTTAATGTGAATGATCTCCCACCTTAGTATGAATTATTATATATGTTAAGGTATGATAAAAAAAAATCAAATCAGCACATTGTCATTGTCACGATAGGTGTCTTGTTTATATTATATATACTAAATACACTATGTCATAATTGGGTCCCTCGTTAGCATTCATAATATAACAATCCGTTATAAGAATGGAATATTAGCTAATATCAGTTAATATTCATAAGCTTAAAGAATTGTGCTTGATAATAAGTAAACAAAAATTTCAAAATGCAAATTTCTCTTTGAATGCAGAAACTCCGATTAAAATTTACAATTCGTGATTATTGCTATTAATTAGAGAAGCCAGTCACGATGGCAAATATACAGAATAATATATATATGTGTGTCGACAGTCGAAATCTTTAGATTGGAAGATTTGACTGATCAGGCTAAATAAGATTGACACTTAGTCGTTTTCATTTAGTTAATCAGATCCCTGGACATATTACTATTACTCTACGTAGTACTAACACGTCCAATTCCAATAGACAATTTTGTAATTGTACTTATTACTTCCA